GATCTCTTTTCGTGGCTGATGAGCTTTCCATCCGGACATAAGCTGCCCAGAAGCTGCTGGCCTTTGGGGGCGGGGGGGGGGGCTTGAATGCAAGACCTGAAGACCATTCTGTTCTGGATCTTTTCTTTTTTTTAAAAAAAGAGGAGCTTTAAAAGTGTGTGTGTGTGTTTCTTTTTTTGAAAAGAGATCAAATCATGCTCACATTGGGTTTTTAACCCACCCACAGACAAACATACACAGAACAGAATCGAGACGGTTGGTCAGGCTGCAGTGGGTCCCGGGGGGGGGGGGAAGGCACAATCCTTTTCCTTCTGCAACTATCCTTCCCCTTGCTCAATCTCGCATCGTCAGGAAACAGCCACCGCCCGCGGGAAGAGACGTCCAAGTGATTCGCTCCGGCTTGTAGGACAAACGTCGCTGGCAAGAGAACAAGAGAAGGGAGGAAGGAGAAAGTGGAGATGAACAGGGGGAAGATATGAGGAAATGACCTTTCATTCCCTTCATTTCCTAAGAGATCATATACCTTTGTGGGTTGGAGTCCTAGCTGGACGTGAGTGCGAAAAGGGGCCATCAGAGATCACCCAGAGTTGATGTGCTGTTCCCCCAGGGTGTCCTCAAGCATGCTGCTTGTTGATCCCACAGCACCTCCAGGAAGAGGGATTTGGAAACCACTTCCATGTAAAGTAGGAACCCCTGTATCCACGGGATCATTATCCACTGATTCACTTATCCACAGTCTGAAAATATTTAAAATATAAAGAAAAATCCCCCAAATTTTAATGATACATGTAAATATTTTTAACAATAAATATATACTTTAAAAATAGCATTCGCTATCATCTGCATTTTCCAGCATACACAAGGGGCCATGGAAGGGATCCCCCACAGAAACAGTATTACTGTATTTTAGACCGTGGGAAGAGACGCCGTGACTCAGAATGGACTTGATCGCTCCTATTTATTCCTTTTCTCCCCTCTAACAGCCGTGATTTTGGACAGCTCCATCCAGCGCTATGTCATTAGGGGCCTGGCCCCCGCCTCGATCGTGCACGTCTACCTCATGGTGGCCACCGAAGGAGGGAGCACTCGGGGATCTGTGCTGTCCGTCCGCACCAAGAGTGATGGTGAGGAGAAGAAGGGGTCCATCTAGAGCGAGGATCTGCCTTTTAGGGCGGCCAGCTACAGCGTGGGAGACCTGGCTTCGAAACCACCTCCCTCCGCTGTGTCATGGTCTCTCAGTCTGACCAACCTCACAGGGTTGGCATGAGGGTAAACAAGAGGAGTTAGAGTTCACTGAAGGCCAGGCTGGGTAGAAATGTCATTACGATGTACATCCATGGGAACAAAGGCATCTTGGCTTGTTTAAATTATTTTCGATTGGTTTCCCCAAGTTAACTGCCCTCCTAAGTTAAACAAAAAAAGATCTGCAGGGTGGCCCTAGGCGACCACGTTGTGAATTTTTACGGACAAAAGCTCTGTCCGTCATACCACCTTCGGTCTGTTGGACGGTGACCCATCTTATGGCCTCAGCTTGGCTGTGGAGGGTGGGAGAGGTCGTCCTGAACTTCTACAAGAGTCCCCGTTGGGAGAAACCTAGCGTACAATTAAATAATTCTTCCTTCCTCCACTCCGTAGAACACGGCAAAGCCGAAGTCTTGATCTTGGCATTTTCTGTTGGGTTCCTCCTCCTCTTTGGATCGTTGGCCTGCGTCTACAGATATCGATGGTATGCTGTGGTGTCCTGTGTCTTCCATTCCAGAGGTGGGCAGAGTTCCATTTCTGGACTACAACTCCCAAAATCCCTTAGATGCCATGGCCGGTGGCTGGGAGTTGCAGACCTATATAGAATGGACTTTTGTCTCCCTTTCTTTTTCTTTTCTTATTTCAGGTGGCAAACTTTTTTTGTTTAAAAAATAAATAAACACTGATCCTCCCACTGGGCTGTGGCTGAATCTGAAAAAGGGGGCAGGAACAAGAAGACAAGAAGGCGGAGCATGTCGTTTTATAGGGTGGAGCTTAGATGCCATGGTGGGGAATATATTTCGGTAACAAGGAGGTGAAGAAGAAGGATGGGCTTTTTGTATAATTTTTTTGGACTACAAAACCCTATTGTTCTCCATTCTTGTTCTACCTGACAGATAGACACCTGACAGTGGCTCACCTGGGAGAAAGGTCTCAACTTGGAAGGCTTTGAAGCTGAGCTCGGCCTAGCTTCCTGTTCGGGGGGGGATTTCCCAGCTAGCACTGGGGCAGGAACAGGAAGCTTGAGTGGTGCTAGGCCTAGCTTGACCCCAGAGCCTTCCAAATTGAGGCCCTACTCCAAGGTGAGCCACATTTAGATGTGCGTGAGTCAGGCAGAACTCCCAGAATGGAGATTATGGGATTTGTAGCCTAAGAAATTAATATCTATCTGTCTGTCTGTCTGTCTGTCTGTCTGTCTGTCTACCTATCTCCATCCCAACATAAGGAATCTCATTAAATTACCCATTCTTGAGGAGACAGGCGGTCTTGAGAGACGGAGGTAGCCTGCAGAACATTCGTTTCTCACCTCTAGATTTCTGGATTTTGCTCTAAAAATACATAATTTTTCTAGAATGGGACAAGGGCCTGCTTCCGTTGTGCAAAAATGACTCCGCGCAAAACGGGGGACTTTGCTTTTTTGCACACACAACAAACGCAGAAGGCCAGCCCGGCTGATCCCAAGAGATGCAAACAATCCTCCCAAAGCTCCCAGCTTCTCTAGGACGTTACCTACACACGCACGCACACACAAAGAGGAAGGGGGGAGAATTGTGTCTCTGAACTTTTAAACATATCTTTTTCACTCATGTTATTCCCTCTTCAGGCTTCAGAAATACCTGTGGCCAAAAGTTCCAGACCCAGGAAAAAGCAACATCGCTACCTGGATGCCACCGAAAATGTGTCTGGTTAGTACAAGGGTCTGTTTCCCTGCTCTTGTGAGTTTGTAGTGGGATTAGGTTTCGTTAACGGCTTTTCAGCCAGCTCAAGGATGCCCTTTTCAATGGCTGAGTCTCGAACAAAGAGCCAGAGACCTTCTAATGATCTGGAAAAGACTAAATGTGAAAACATACCTAGGTTCTTGATCTGCATCCCGCTGGCCACCACTGGTTCCCATCACTTTCTACATGCATGGATACTCTGACTTTTTTTTTGGGGGGGGGAAGGCTAAAATACTTGGAAGTTCAGAGGTAAAAATGCCCCTGCAAGGAGATACAGTTTATCATGAGCTGCCTGCCAGTCCTGCACCCTCAGCTCCATAAAGACAGCTTGAGACGATGCAAGCTGTTGATGTTACTCTGTAATTTAAAGTAGCTATCCAAGGTGCTGAACTTATTTGGAAAGTCAAGTTCAGCATCTTTGGTGGCCCTATCAAGTTCGGATTAAAACCTCGAGCGGTCAGCTGCACTAGTTCATCTTTTTCTATGCATACGGTCTCCTTTAACTGGGGTTAAAGCTCAGCCTGTGAATGGGAATATATTGTCAATGAAGGGGACTGGTTTATCCTAAAACATCCTATTTCCTTCTTCTCTTCACCCCCAATTTCCAGGACTTCCCCTCTCCTTGCACCAAGAAATGGAGTCAAGATTATCTCCATATGACCATCCGTGACCTCTTGAGGGTCCACCCATCCCAAGAGGGTGAGACAGACTCAAAAATGTTTGCAGAAAAACGGTGGATGGTGGAGGTTCCTGCCACTTTCTGGAAGATCAGCCCTATGCTAGGTAGCGAGGATCCCTCATGGAGGGATGGAGACCTGCCCCAGAAAGGCCTGCCTTCTAGCAACGAGGTGGACTACTCAAAGGTAATTGTAGTCCAAAAGAGTCACAATCCAGAACAAAGAAACCTGTTTGATTCTCAGACTCTTTCCAAGTACCAAGATCCTAGAGACTCGCACCCTGGATCTGAGTTTGGCCGTGGTCTCTGGCTTCAGAATTTGACCTATGAGACCCTGATGGATGGTGGGTTAGACAAGAGAACCTTGGAACCCAAAGGGGAGTTTCCATTCCTGGTGAGTCTCGTGACCCTAGAAGATCTTTATCCTGCTGGGAGCCTGCACAAGGTTCCCCTTGAAAAATCCTAATACAGTGGTGCCTCACTTAGCGAGGTTAATCCGTTCCGGAAAAACCCTCGCTAAGTGATTTCATTGCTATCCGGAAATGAAAAGCCCATAGGAACATATTGAAACGGGTTTAATATGTTCCTATGGGCTTAAAACTTACCTTTAAGCGAAAAATCTCCATTGCGGCAGCCATTTTGGGTGCCTCGTAAGCGAGGCAAAACAGTGGTCGCCATTTTGTTTTTTGGCGGCCATTTTGGAACCGCCCATCAGCTGGGAAAAAATGGGGGCTTTGCAGTGATCGCGTCCCCGCAATCGTCGCAAAGAGATTTTTCCCCATAGGGGCCATCGCTAGGCGATCACTCCAGCGATGGCCCCAAACCCCTTGCTATGCGGATTCGTCGTTAAACAGTGCGCTCGCTATGCGGGGCACCACTGTATATATCACAGCATTCCTGCAAGACCTTAGATCTTGGCAAGTCTGAAGGTAGCTGACATTTTTCTGACCATTAAGTTCTGCCCACTTATCTGAAATCCACAGGGAGCTGAAGGAAGGCCCTCCAAAATTTCACAAGTAAACTAGCAGAGAATTGGTTTCAAGATAACATTTGTAGATAGTGGGAGGTTCTTTTCCCTTTCTTGTAACACGAGGAGTCTGTGGAGTCATCTGCAGAACTTGAAACCTCAGAGCAGACTGAACGAAGAGCTCCTTTGCGCAGGGCGTGGATAAACTGTGGAACTCACTGCCGCAAGATGAATTGACAATGGCCTGCAGGGCTGCCTCTCAGATAAATTCAGACCCAGTTGGACTAAAAGCCATTAAAAGCACCTTATTCAACCCAAGCTGCTGAATAACAGCTCAGATCTAAGATCTTGCAAAAGGCTTCGCTTTGGTCTAGCATGCACGGCTTTTGGACTATGCCAGCAAATTTCTGCAAATAACTCGAGCAACACCAACCCCATCAGGACAAGGAGCCAAAGTTTCTCAAAAGGTGTTGGAAGAGGTAGATCTGGTTGGGGAAAACCTACCACCTCTATCTTTTGTCGTCATTTTGTGAGACAGCCTCTTGGATGTCATGAGTTAACTGGGTGATGAAACCTCCTTGTTGAGTATCCATTACAATACTGTTTTTTTAAAAAATATGTGGTATTTGAGCTAAGCTTCCCTTTCAGCTGTAGGTTTACCAGTCAGAGGTGAGGAAAAGAGATCACTCTATAAGGCTTACTTAAACACTGATTAAAAAAAAAAGACTTCTAGAAATTTGCATGGTTTCCAGTTGCAACTGGACAGTTCTGTGTATAAAAGCTGTATTTTGCATCCCATGGAGATTGTGTTGTTCTGTTCCTTCTGGTGGGTGGATGAGAATTGTCTGTGGTGCCAACAATATTTACTGACCCTTGGAAGCCTGCAAAGAACCTGTTGTCACCACCCTGTCAGTATCCTCCCCATTCATTTCTGAACCTCGTAATGCTGGCAGAAGGATTAGAAATTTGTTCTCTTCCTTGTTATGAAAAAGAACATCTGAGAAACTCAAATTCCAGGTCCTGTTAATATTTCTAGAATATGTATTACGCTTATGTTTGATGTGCAATAGATTAACTGTGCACCATTCCCTTGCCCTACATCCTTGACTTCCAGAAAGAGGAAGAAGTAGGTCCTGCATCAGATCAAGCCTGAACTATCTCTGGAGTTCAAATATTGAAGCTGAGGCTGTCTTGCTTTGGGCACCTCATGAGAAGGCAGGAGTCCCTGGAAAAATATCATGCTGGGAAAGGTGGAAGGCAGCAGGAAAAGAGGAAGAGCATACATGAGATGGATTGATTCCCTAAAAGAAGCCACAAGCTTGAGTTTACAAGAGCTGAGCAGGGTAGTTGAGAACAGGACATTTTAGAGATAACTCATTCATAGGGTTGCCATACGTCGGAGGCAACATGATAGCACATAACAACAACAGATTCCCTTTAAAGACATATCCTGGCTCCAGATTTCCTTTTCCTGAGATAATCCCATTACAAACCTCCGTTAACAAGGTAAAACCTTGTAACTAAACCACAGAAATCTACCAACAGTTCCAGAAGGGCCTGAGTCCTGCCCTTTGAGTGCCGCTGTTGGCACATGGTGGCAGCGGTGGGATGCATTCCGCCTTGTTCTGGGTGGAACACATGTGATCCCAAGCAGTTTTAAAATGGGAAACACTGGAGAGAACAAGTGGGTCGAGCTGAGTTTTATGGGCTCAGGGATTTGCATAGTTTGAGGCCATTTTGCATGCCAGAGAGAGATTTCTCCAGAGAGAGAAAGCATTCCTATGGGATACATCCAACTCCTGTCCATCCCTTGAGCTTGGATGTCAAACCCATTCTGAAAAGCTTGGGTCTCAAAAAAAGTTTTCTTACAAAGATTGAAAAAAGTGAAGAAGACAAAAGCTCCCTTGCACCCTCTATTGGTTAAAAAAATGTTCTAATTCCTTAAATCTGTTCTTCACTTCCACTGTGTATTCATAAGGGATTTGGTTTAGATTATACCTGACTTGCCCAGTGGTTTTTCCTACTCTCTACAGTTTAAGCTTGAATTTTGCTATGAGAAGCTGATGACCAGAGCCACAATCAGCTCCAGGTCTTGTTTTTGCTGACTGTATAGAGCTTCTCCATCTTTGGCTGCAGAGAATATAATCAATCTGATTTCGGTATTGCCCATCTGGTGATTTCCATGTATACAAGTCGCCTCTTGTGTTGTTGGAAAAGGGTGTTTGTGATGACCAGCTTGTTCTCTTGACAAAACTCTATTAGCCTTTGCCCTGCTTCATTTCGAACTCCAAGGCCAAACTTCCCTGTTATTCTTTTATCTCTTGACTCCCTACTTTAGCATTCCAGTCCCCTAGAATGAGAAGAACATCTTTCTTTGGTGTCAGTTCTAGAAGGTGTTGTAAATCTTCATAAAATTGTTCAATTTCAGTCTCCTCAGCATTGGTGGTTGGTGCATAAACTTGGATTACTGTGATGTTGAAAGGTCTGCCTTGGATTCATATTGACATCATTCTATCATTTTTGAGATTATATCCCATTACAGCTTTTCCCACTCTTTTGTTGACTATGAGGGCTACTCCATTCCTTCTACGGGATTCTTGCCCACAATAGTAGATATGATAATCATCTGAATTGAATTCGCCCATTCCTGTCCATTTTAGTTCACTGACGCCCAGGATGTCAATGTTTATTCTTGCCATCTCCTGTTTGACCACCTCCAGCTTCCCAAGGTTCATAGATCTTACATTCCAGATTCCTATGCAGTATTTTTCTTTGCAGCATCGGACTTTCTTTCACTTCCAGGCACGTCCACAGCTCAGCGTCCTTTCGGCTGTAGCCCAACCACGTCATTAGCTCTGGAGCTACTTGTACTCGTCCTCCGCTCTTCCTCAGTAGCATGTTGGACACCTTTCGACCTGAGGGTCCCATCTTCCAGCGTCATATCTTTTAGCCTTTTGTTTCTGATCATGGGGCATTCTTGGCAAAGATACTGGAGTGGCATTGCCAATTTCTACTCCAGGTGGATTGCGTTTAGTTGGAACTCTCCACTATGACCTGTCCGTCTTGGGTGTCCCTGCATGGCATAGCCCATAGCTTCAATGAGTTACTCAAGCTCCTTTGCCACGACAAGGCAGCAATCCATGAAGAGGACATAATAGAATAATAATATAATGATTGATAATTCAGGATGAGATGGTTGGACAGTGTCATCAAAGCTACCAACATGAATGAGACCCAACTCCGGGAGGCAGTGGAAGACAGGAGGGCCTGGCGTGCTTTGGTCCACGGGGTCACAAAGAGTCGGACATGACTAAACAACAATATAATAATTAATTATAATTAATAATAATAGTTTTTACTGTTACATCATTATTATTTATTGTTTTATTATTATAACATTGCATCATATGTTCTTCTTCTTCTTCTTCTTCTTCTTCTTCTTCTTCTTCTTCTTCTTCAACAACAACAACAACAACAACAACAACAACAACAACTATTATTATTATTATTATTATTATTATTATTATTATTATTATTATTATTATTGGAAGAAAACATATCAATAGAGGAACAATTTATGGAACAATCCAGAAATTATGAGATGGCAGAACAGCAAACATCACTGAGGGGAAAAAATTAGTAAGCTAAGATCCAAGTAACTAGTGCTAACAGCAATGTTAACTTCGCTGAAAAATGAAAGATGAAACAATGTCACACCTCATCTGTGAATGTCGAAAGATGGCACAAACAGATTACAAAGTTAGACATGAGAGAGTGGCAAAGTTTGTGCCCTGGGCATTAGGCAAAAAATATAACTTGCCAGCCTCCAAAAACCCGTGGGAACATCAGGGAGAGAAAGTCTCAGAAAATGACAAAGTCAAGATCTTGTGGGATTTCTGGACCCAACCTGATAGACACACCAGACGATAGTAGTGACAGAACGAAGAAACATCCGGATCATGGATGTTGCCATTCCGGGGGATGCCCGAGTTGAAAATAAAAAAATAGGAAAACCATCAAAGGACAGAGACCTGGCTATCGAAACATCTTTCTCGTGGACGAAACCCACTTCAGGGGGGCCCGTTGTCATCGGGGCTTTGGGAACAACCTCCAGAAATTTCACACAGTGCTATAAGCAGCTGCAGATCTCAGAAATCACACCCTCAGGGCTATAAGAAACGGCAATATGAGGAACAGCCGGGCTCCTGAGCCGATACGGAACAGAAAGCCTCAGAGAATACATTTAACAAATACTTAGATTTTTGGTTAAAAGTTGTATCTGTTATATAATACCTGTCAATGTTTTTATAATTTTGATTGACTGTGCCTGGTGTTTTACAATAATAATAATAATGATGATGATGACAATGATTATGATGTCTGGGACATTTGCTCCAAAGAACAGACCAGATGGCACCATGGCAGGGGCGGGGACTTCTTTTCCAGCCCCCTAATAAGATAAGGATATTTTAAAAGAAAAATGCAAGATAAAAAATATTTTTTTTATTTATTTATGTATTTATGTATTTATGTATTTATTTATTTATTTATTTATACCCCGCCCCTCTAGACCATGTCTACTAAATAAAATTAGAGAAACAGAAAAACAAAGTCAGATCCAGTAATAAAAGGTCATGGATTTCAGGATGTGATATGAACCAGTTTCCGCATATATCAAACTGTCTAATGAAGAATTCTGTGTTACCCAGAAGACCGATGAAGGAATCTGTTGAATCTGCCTTCTGCATCATTGCGGTTTGTTAAACCTCAAGTTCTTTCTATCCCAAATATGGAAAAAACGTGGATCAATTAAGAAATTGAAGCAAAATTCTCACCCCTTTGGAAGGCAGGATTCTAGGGCATTCTGGGATTTGTAGTCCTCTAAAGTAGCTCCTCCAAGTTCTGGCAGCGACCCAGGTTGAAATGCTTGAACAAAGGGTGGTAAATAAGCCACACCACCTGTGAAAAACAGATTTTTTTTTCTCCCCTTCTGTTGCCATTCCACGTTTGGCCTCTGGGTGGCAATGTTGCTCCATCTTTATCTTGCCCGTGAAACCCAGACCAACCGCCCAGGTCTTTTGCAAAAGCTTTTTCTTCAACAGAAAGGCAAGGATTTTTTTCCCCTTCAAAACGCAACAAAAGTACAGTACCCCTATTTTCATTTAAAGGCTATTTCACAGGTCATGCTTAAAAAAAAAAACAAACTAGGAATTTATCCATTCCCAGCAATCAGCTGCTGTAACCTATGCATTTAGACTTACACAGGTGCCATTACAAGCCGAGTTCTGGATTTACAGTATTTATTTTTTTCTGCTTTGTTCACTGTTTAAACTTCATGGTTATTCCCAAACTGAAGAAGACCAATGTGGCTTCCTTCCTTAGAGAGGTATTAAAACTAAGAAGCTTATGGGGGTTTGGGGGTGAAACAAGCTTTTAACCTTAATGCAGCACACACATGGCTGATGGCAGCAGGAAAAGAGGAAGCCCCCCCAATGTGAGATGGATGGATTCGATCAAAGAAACCCCAGCCTTGGGTTTGCAAGAGCTGATCAGAGCCAGTTAACGGTGGGACATTTTGGAGGTTGCTCCGTCCTAGGGCCACGAGAAATCAGAAACCACTGGGGGGGGGGCACAGAAAAACAGCAGGGTTGAATACTGAAGGATTAAGGCCCAGGCTGTGAGCTCAAAGCTGCCAGGACAGCCGGATGCAATGGTGACGCCTGTCTGGATATACTGTATAAATTAAAAATAAAATAAAATAAACTCAACTTTTTTTCTGGACTGCACCAGAA